ACCCAAAACAAGCATGCTCTTGTTTTTAAGTTCTTTTTCTGGTGAAGTTTCCTTCAGTAAGAGAAAGCATACATCAGTGTAACCTTCTTCTGCAGGACACACTGACAAAATTAATGCTAATACTGATAGCGGCCCCCCCCCTTTTTTTTTTTTTGCTTAAGCACTTTGGGTCACCCTGACCTGTTCTGCCTGGTCTGTTTTACATTTGTTTTGAATGTCGGCTTAAAGGCAATTGTTAAAAACATGCATGCTGTGAGTTTGTCCACAGTTATTTCTCCCACAGTAGAGGGGCAGAGCATTTAAAAACGCTTCCAGGCCCCAGACAGTTGTTTTTAACTGCCTGTTAATTACTAGTCACTTGTAGGCTATAATCGAGCTGCCTGTGACCAGCAGACCTGCAGCTTTGTGTGTGTAGTGGGAGGAGGAGGTGACACGCGGGATACTTTATTTAGGACTCTCTGCTTTGGCACAGGACGGCACTTCATTATTGATTGAGATCACTCTGACCCGCAGGCTGAAATCCATTAAACAGAATCTTCTCTCCTGATCGACACTGTAAAGCCTAAGAGAAGGAAAAGAAAAAAACAAAAAGTGATAATGCCGGTTTCATGTGCTCGGTTCACTCTCCTGCCTTTCACACAGCACCAATTCCTACTGCAAGCGCAGGTGCCGGCACGGCCGCACCGATCCTGCCAGCCCCCGTGCACGGGAAGCGTGCCGCTGCACACACGGCGGCACCGATCCTGCCAGCCCCCGTGCACACGTGGGCATCCAGACCCCTCTGTCCGGCTGCCGTCCGGACCCTGCGCACCACTCAGCCAGCACAACTCCTGATGAGGTGCAGAGCTCCGGGTTTAAGGCACCTCCTGTTCGTTTGCTGCCGGGGCATTTTAATCGTGGTGTGTGAGGTCCCGTGGGCTGTTCCCGTTGTGAGAACCAAGCGCCCGTGCCCTGGACCGGCGCTGGCAGCCCGCCTGCGCTGCGGGGTGTCTCGGCCAAAGCTCTGCTGTTGCACCTTCAGCCTAGCGACTGCGCTCCACGTGGGTCCTGTCTTGGGGCAAAACCTCCCAAACATGTAAAATTCAGTTCATTTCGTTGATGGTAGGGCTAGAAAACTACTGTAATAACTGCTGGTATCTTGTAAAAGCCCAAGGCATGAGGCATACCTGTATTTAGTCCTAATTCAGGTCCAGTTGCTGTGGTTAAAATGGAGCTCATGTCTTAGAAAAATGTTTGATATCGATGTAAGCATTTCCAGCAGTGGAAAATCTAACACTTTTTTTTTTTTTTGCCACACAGTTGCAGTAGTTAATTATGTTCAGTGTTGCGATAGATGTACCTTATTTTTCATCTTGTCCGTCCTTGATTTCCAGCAACTGGATCTTTATTACAGCTTTGCTTGCTAGACTGAAAAACCTACTTTTATTGAATTTCTGTCCCTGCAGTGGGTATTTGTTGGCTGCGACTTCATAACCCTTTAGCCTTCTGTATAGCCACCTAAGTGAAATTCTTCACTTCCTTGGTCCGAGGTGTGTTATCCAGTCTTTACTATTCTTACGGCTCCTGCAGTTTGCTAACACTGCCCTTGCCCGGTGAACATCTGATCGCATCTTCCCGGTGTCAGCAGCGTCAGTGCTTGGAGGCAACGGTAAGGTGCTCTCCAGGCCCGTGTCTTGCTCCTTCATGTGGCACAGGAGCTGTTAGCCCTGTGTCCACTGAGCCATCCGGCCAGCTCAGGCCTCCGTGTTTGTCCATCAGCTCTTGGGGCGAGGTCAGGCTCCCGAGGATGGAGTTCGACATCCATGGAATATGGCTCCCTTGTTCAGTTCCTCGGTGTATCTGTTTACAGTGAAATGTACTTTGCGTTCATAGACTGAGCTTATCATCAGACCTTGATCAGTCTGCTCAATGATCAAGCCTTAGTGTTTGTTAATGTTTCCCATCTATGCATTGTCATACAGACTTTTTTAGTAGAAATGGTCAATTTTCTTTTTGGAATGAATGTAGACATTCACTAGCAAAGGGCCATGAACAGCCCTCGTAAGAAACAAATCTGTCTGATATTGTTTCAACATTTATAGTTACTTTTGAGATGTATCACCTGGGTGATTTAAAATCATTCAGCAGTCTGATCTGACATCATTCGAGGTTTTTTAATTCATGCGGGACAGACTGACTCAGATCTCTTAAACGTCTGCTATACCAGTACTGTTATAATTATCAACGGAAATCATCGTGCCAGAAAAGATTGATCGCTTGACAGCATCTGGTTTTGACAAGCCACGTGTTGATGTTAATAAAAAAATCTAAAGAACAGGGTATAAGTCAAGTCCTGATTCAGCCTCTCTGACATTTCACCCGCAGCTGAAATCAGCAGGTGGTGCCTGAAGAAATCCTGGTGCAGGATTTCTCTGTCATTGCTGGTGCAAAAGCAATTTTTTTCCAGGTCCCCAGAACTTCCCCGAGTCCCAGCACTCATGAAAAATCTGTGCTGGATCCCAGAGCGCTCCTTCACCAGGGCTTCAGAAACGCCAGGCAGGAGGGTGGGCAGGGGAAGTGGCTTAAAATGTCTGTCACTTTGATAATCACTCTATAGCATACTCCCTAGGGATTACCGTATAATTATGTCCTTTAAGCTTTTTGCCAAATACGTATGATATTGTCACCGGGGCGGCTCAGGGCGGTGCTGTGCCAGCAGCTGCATTTCGAGGGTTCCCGGGTGCTCGTGTCCCTGCTGCCAGCCGAGCCGGTGAACCGCCTGTTTTCCCCCACGCGTGCTGGGGTTCATCCGTCTGTGGTTTGGAGAAGGGCAGTCTAGACTTCTGCCTAAGTTAGCTCATCCTGGAATAAAAGAAGAACAGATGTCCTTAATTTCTGGTTTTTGATTTCTGGTTTTGTTCCCCGTAGCTGCTGAGTAGGAGCTACCACCAAAAAGGGGTTTTGCACAGGTGACTCAATATAAGCTACTCTTTACCTTTGAAACTTTTCTCCATCTGGTAACATCAGTGTTTCAGTGATCTGTGGAACAAGTGCTCCTGGAAAGCACAAACATAAGGCTCCTCTGATGAGAGCAGTTATCGTCCACCTTCACTGCGCTCCGACACCGAGGGGTTTGGTTTACGGCTGCAGTCTCAGAGCCAGCCGGGTTGGTTGCTTGCTCTCTTCTTACTTCACTCAATATCTTTTAGTACTAGACAATTTAATTTTAAGAAAAAACCCAAACATTTAAAACAAACAGTGTGTGTGTTTTATGCAGCGTGGGTTTGGCTCCATTTACACCCAGGACCTGATGGCCGCTGATGATTATTCTTCTGAAGATAGGGTGCATTTTTTATTTCTTTTAAGCCGGGGAACTTTTCTTTCCTGGCAGCACTCCCGTCTCTAAAGGTCCAGTACCAAGCACACCCATGAGACATGGTTTCTGCCTCAGGTGGAGTCAGCCCCGGTGCCCCCTTCCCGAATTAACGCCAGGTTGTTTGGAAAGAAGGGATCAGCGTTCTGCACTCCCCTCCTTCCACGCTGCTTGTCAAACACACAACCTGGGCGCAGCTTCCAGGGGGAGCGGAGCCGTACCTGTCCCGGGGGATCAGCTCTCCGGGGCTCGGAGAGGAGAGCGGCGGGATCTGGGTGCCCTGGCTGGCCTGGCAGCCGAGCGGACGATGGCTGAGGGACGTCGCGCTGCGCTGCAGCCCTGCTTTCCTGTTGCTCTCTTTTGGTTTTATTGCTCTTTTCTCCTCCTTTTTTGTAGAGCAGCCTGCCTTAATTGCTCGTACAGTAGATCATCCAAAGTACGTTACTTAAAGATCAACACTTTGAATTGATTTACAAAGCTGCACTTTAACTTGACGTTTTTATGTTTCGCTGCTTATTTTTCTAATTACGGCTGAAAGGAAATTTGAGATAAGTATCATGTAATGAAGGAGCCAAAACCCCAAGGACAATTGGTTCGGTGTTATGTTCTCTGCTTGAATTAAACAGTTGGCTTTTTTTCTGTAATTAATTAGGGGTTTTGGAGTTGGTAAGGGGTAAAAGCGGTTCCTATCTGCAGTAGCCTGCCAACCTGTGTTGTGCTGAACACTGACATGCAGATATCAAATTAGGTGAACACTGACTCTCCAAGAATTCTGAAGTCACACATCTGAAGCTCCTGGTGTATATCTCACTAGCAGATCAGCATCTGTAATTAACAGTTGGGTGCACAGGAGAAACTTTGTCACAGGGACATGGGCACAGTTGTTGGCTGCCTGTGGTCCCAAGCCCACAAGACATCTTTGCTGATGTTGCTCTTGAAGCTGGGCAGCAGACCAAGGCCACCCCTGCTCAAGTCTTCTCCTCGTCGGCGGGCTAGCTGGGGAGATTCCAGGGAAACAGCTGTGGAACCACCTGCTGGCTTTTAAAATCTATTTTCCATAATATATTTATAGAGTAGGGACCTGGCTGGGAGAGCTTGGTTATGGGGCAGCAGGCATTGCAGGAGCCCCGGGCAGGGAGAAGGTTTTTATCTCGGTTGCATCCCGTTTCCTCTCTGGCCTGGGATGGAACAATCCCACTTGAGCATCCAAGTGCAAAGGCTTTTTTCCCTGGAACATGACCATCTACTGAGTTTATTTGCTTGCATTACTTCCCTTTTTAATTGCATGTGAGCAGTTGTTTGAATCAAGTCGCCTCTTCTCTCTTTCCATGGTTCTTCCTCTCCATTTCTAAATGGGAGTTAATGTGAGACCGGTCACGGCTGAGGATGTAAATGATGTTTGTTCTTTTCCATGTAAGATTAATGAGCAAATGGATTTCTTGGTGCAGTGTGTGCTTCCTTTTGTCCTTACGTGAGGTCTGCAATGCCAGGGCACTCCGTGGGCAGCGTGCACTGAAAGAGTAGCTGCTGCTGCTCGTCGTCAGTTTTCCTTTCCTTGTAAATATAAGTGATGGAGCTGGAGGCTGAGAAACCTCAAGCTTTTTTATTTATTATTTTTAAGTCTCACACTAACGTGTCATTTCCACAGCCCGCAAGCTGAAGAAGCTGGGTAACCTGAAGACGCAAGATGACATGGAGGCAGCCAGCTCATCCAGCCCCACGGAGGAGCAAGCTCCCAAGATGGTGATGACGCGCATTGATGGGTACGAGTGCCAGCCCATCTTCCTCAATGTCCTGGAGGCCATTGAGCCTGGCGTGGTGTGTGCCGGCCACGACAACAGCCAGCCGGACTCCTTCTCCAACCTGCTGAGCAGCCTGAACGAGCTCGGGGAGAGGCAGCTGATCTACGTGGTCAAATGGGCAAAGGCCTTGCCGGGTGAGAAGGAACGCTAACGGATCCCGTCCCTTCCCTGGCATGTTCCTTAAAGCTCCCTGCTTACATCATGGGGGGGTGGGTTCAAAGGAGGTGGTCTGCAGCCCGTGTCCCAGCATCACATGGTTCCTTGGAGGAGCATCTTCACAGGGCAGCAGTCTGCGTAGTATCTGTCTCTGTAAAGCAGGCTGCAGCAGCATCGGGTTTGTCTCCTTTGGGTGGCTGGTTGATGGGAGAGGTGACTAAGGGGTGACAGAGTATGTCAGAACTTAGGCTTTGGGTTCTGATAACCCCCAGCACACGGTACCCTGTAGGCATGCGGCTGCTTCCCCGCATGGGAAGGGCTGTCGCTGGTCGGAGGTTCAGGGTCTTCCTCTCTTCCCACCCTCCCTGCAGGGGTTTTTGCTCCACTTTCAGGGCTGTGTCCACCAGACCTGCAGATGTCTTCTCAACACAAGTATTAGCCCCATCCCGTAACCTGCATGAAGTGGTGAAAAGGGTAAATTCCCCAAGCGAATCGGAAGTGTGCCACTTCGTGTTGTGAAAGTGCGATGGGGGAAACTGGGCTGAAGGGAGCTGAGGCTTGAGAGATGGGGCGAATCCTTCCTCCCCATTTTTGCATTTTGCAAGCCAATTAATTGTAAAATAGCAAAAGAGAGATACAAAATCCCAAAGTGCTTTTTCCTGGCAGTCGGGTTGCTCTTGTATGACAGGCTGGTGGAATATATTTATGATGCATTCAGACTTGTGATACGGGAGTACGTTTGGGTCAGGAGGTTACCAATGGTAATAGTTAGCAGGTGCTGTAAATGAAAACATCCTGGTGATAGATGTGTTTTGTTGAATACACTCCAGAAGTTACCAGTCTGTAACATGCTGCCCGTTGCGTGTTGTAGTCCTGCCAGCTGAATGAGTGAAACTACGGAAGACCGAGATCACTCTGGGTGCAGTGGGATCCACTTCACCTTCCAGCATCCCTGAGACTGGGGCGTGGGAACGATACCAAGCTGCCTTCCTCACCCTGGCCCTCTTCCCCAGGAGATGCCACAGAAAAGATGGATCCTACGCTTTATGTGTGGGGTGATATGACCAAAGGAGGAAACTGAGGCAAAATAAGTTTGCCACTGTATGCCAAAAGCTGGTGATGAACTGTAGTCAGACATTTGATGTTCCCAGAAATTTAGCGGTGCCCCTGGAAGTAGCTTGACTGGTGGTCCAGGGCGGGTGTTAGTCTGAATATGCTTAAATGCAGCGTAGCCCATTCTATGTCTTATATTCTTAAGTCAGAAAAGATTCACCTAGCTTATGAAACCAGGGACAAATTGTGCCTTCTCTTCTGGCTTATCGACATCAGACATCAAAATTGCTTCAGAAAAGTACCCGAAGACCCCACCAACCTGACCGGCAGTCTGGGGCCTGAGGTTGTAAAGCTGCGATAGTGCTAGTGGAAAGGGAGAGTGCTTTGAAAAACATTTTTCATTGTACCCACCCCCTTATCAAAGGCTTTTACTCCGCCGCACCGCACCTCATCTCCGACTCCTTGGTGCCTGGAAGCACGGTGGTGGCGGCTGCTGCACTGCTGCCGCCTGGAGCTGGTGCCCACTGTGCCAGTAACAGCATCTGGGCAAAATTAGTTCTAATCTTCTTTCATCCGAGCGGTCACCGCTCGCTGGGCAGTTGCAGTATAACCACAACCCGCTCCGCAGGCCAGGGGATCCTCTCCTGGGTGGGTGTGTGGTGCTGGGATGCTGCCGGGCTGCCCTCCCCATCCCGCCGTCTGCGGAGCCGGTGCTGGCCTGACCGTTAGCATCACTGTATCCGGAGCGAGAGGCAAAGCCCGTTTGTTTTCCCCAGCTTTCTCCAGCCATTCCCTGACATGTGCCAACACCAGAGTTCAACAGTAATAACGACAAATTCGCCACTTAGTCATTCTCCGGATACTTCCAGGGAATTTGTTTAAATTATATTTTGGTTGTTAAAGCAGAAGTGGTTTTTGGTTCCTGGGTCTGCAGGTTGGCTAGGCAGTCCGGCGCTCGGCGGGCTCAGGAGAGGGGTGATGCGGGCGAATGCGTGCAGGGGGAGAAGTAGTGGAAACAGAACCCAAGCAATTTAAAACAGCGGGATGCAGTTGTTTTTATCAAAACTGAAAGATCTTC